GTACCAAGGCTACTAACACAAGGTGGGGTAGATGGGAAGACATTCTACTAGACCCGGATTTGGAGATAGGCCCTGCACAACCAGTGAGTAAAAAAGCAGCCAAAGAAGTGCCCGAAGAACCGAAGCAGCACGACTGGACTCTCTACACAGATGGATCCAAAAAAGGGTCAGATCAGGTAGCACATTGGGGATTTATCCTCAAATATCAGGGGAACGAGTGCTGCCGTAGAAGGGGGAGAGTACAGGGTAGTGCACAAACAGGCGAAGTTACGGCAGTACTCGAAGGGCTGCTAGAATTAACTCACAAGAAGATAAGAACGGCTAAAGTAGTGACAGACAGCCACTATTGTGCACAAGCTCTAAATGAAGATCTAGCCATCTGGGAAGAAAATGGATTTGAAAGTGCGAAGGGCAAAGTGGTAGCTCACCATGACTTGTGGAAGAAAATAGCTGAAATCAGGCTAAATCTGAAGTTAGAAGTAGAGCACCAGAAAGCCCACACTAAAGAGGGAAAATACTGGCAAGGCAACGAAGAAGTTGACCGCTATGTACAGCAGAGAAAAATAGTCTTCGTCGGGATCTAGGAGTGGGACAGAACCTCCGAAGGTCGGAGGGTCCCAGAGAAGTACGTGGAGCAGGTTGTACGGGGCGTGCATGAGGGTCTAGGTCATGCAGGCGTACAACCCACACGTAAGGAGTTGGAGTATCAGGAGCTCAGGATCCCGTTGAAACAGGTCCGCAAGGTGTTGCAAAACTGTGATGTATGTGGTCAATACAACGCAGGAAGGCGAGGGCACCGAGTGGATGGACAGACCATAAAGAGTACCACGCCATGGGGTTCAGTATGCATGGATGTAGCTGGACCTATGGGAGTTACAGGCAAGAGGGGAGAGAAATACCTTCTAGTGCTGGTAGACTCGATGTCAGGGTACGTGGTGGTGAAACCAGCTAGGAAAGCTAATGGCAACAGTGTTGTTAGTATGCTGGAACAGGTCTGTGGGTCGTTAGGAGTTCCAAAAGAGTTGAGAACCGATAATGGGACACACTTCCGCAATGCACAGGTGGATCACTGGTGTCAGACTTTTGGGGTCATGCGCGTTTATTCGCCTCCTTACACACCTCAAGCCAATGGAGTAGCAGAAAGAACCATAGGTTTAGTCAAAAATTGGATAGCTAAAAATGCTAATACCAAAGAATGGAGTACTAAAACTGTGGAGATAGGTCAGGCCTTGAATGACAGGAGAAGAGCTGGTAGACCCTCCCCCTCAGAAGAGCTCAACCAACGATGGTTTAGCACGCCTGAAGTTGGGCGGAGCTCTGAGGATAAAGAGGAACAGTCAGACTCTGAGGCCCCATTCAGGGTAGGACAGAAGGTGTGGGTCAGAGCACAGGATCACCCATCAGCAGTTGCAGTGAAGCCTAAATATAACACCACAGACAGAGTGAGAAAAGTGTTAGATAAAAACACAGTTGAGCTAGAGAAGAAAAGGATCCAAGGAATAGAGCAACTGAAGCCAGTTCCTAGCTAGTAGAAACCAGAAACCAGAGTATGGCCACAGAACCAAGCACCATGCTCCCTTATATTAGACTGGCCACTATATGTGGGGGAGTGATACTAAGAAGAACAGTCTCAGGGCTTTGGACGGGTAGGGCCTTGAGCACATTGGAATATGCAAAGAAAGGATACCTGTCAAAAGAAGGAGAAACCTTCAGGTGGAGCCTGCAGGAGAACAATTGTACGCTCTGCCTGAAACCGAGTGGATTACCCCTTCTCTGGGAAGGACCAGGGATGGAGAAGCCCATCAAGCCTAAAACAAACAAGATGGACGCACGTCAGCTGCAGATAAAACCTGTAAAGGTAATGGACGCATTCATTTGTGGAGAATGCAGGATTACCACATTACCTCGAGCAACTATCATCACACAATGGGATATAAGCGGCAAAGGCCCACAAGACTGTGCATGCGAGTGGGATGGCACCGAAGTAAAATACTGTTCAGCCTGTGATACACAGATGGAGGAAGGCCAACTGCTGCACTCTGAGAGGGCAATGGGCTGGCAAGTAAGGAGGTATCACAGTCCCCTCAAATCTTTCAGAGCTCAGCTTGATGAAGATGAAACCAGGGCCTCGGAAGGATCCCTGACCGAACAGCAGTATGACCAAGAATTCGTCTACAGTTCTCTAAAAGTAACACCTTCAGCCCCACTACTTTATCCAGAACTAGGAGAACTGGATGGAAGAAGAAGAAAGCGGCAGCACAGGAAGAAGATAAATCCCGGAGAATTGCTCGAGCAGGCTGTACATCAAGCCTGGCCTTATGATTCTTCGAGGGGTAAGAAAAGGAATGCCCCCCTCGGTACTCAGCAGTTTCCCTTAGTTTTTAGAGTACTTCGAAACCAAACAAGCGCAGGGAGCAAAAAAGAAGAGGCGGGTATGTTACCTGACGAAGAAACCGGCGAGGCTGGACAGAAAGGCTGGACAGGGCCCTGGGAATTAACAACATGGGCTCAGCTGATTACGGAAGTAATTATGAACCAGGAAGTCCCCCTAGTGCCCCTGCCAGACGTCCCCCGAGAGACCGGAACCAGATATAATAACTTGTACTATTGTACTACTAGTCTGG